CCTTTGAAATAAAAGTATTGTACCACATAACGATGACCAATTTTTTCCATTTTCACAAATTCACTGAAAACGTTCAGTATTGATGGCTGCCAAACAAATACTGAACAACGTGGCGACACTGGGAGACATTAATACTTATTTTAAATCTAGACAACTTTTTTTCTCAGAGTGCTGTTTTGATGTTTTTTCAGCGTTCGAGCTTTCTATACAACATATCATCCACTTATATGCACTGATTTCTTTTTATTTTCATGTTTATCCATCCTGTAATTGGCTTTGGCTGTTGGATGTTGCTCAATACATAAATAATATTGCCAAAAACTGTGCCTCGCCGACTTTTTAAAACATATTTTGTTTCCTCCGTGGTAAATAAAGATACCGGCTTCTTGTTGGTCTTGCTATCTCTTCGTATCTTGCCTCGTTTTTTTAGACGTCTAAAGATTGTTAAAATATCTATTTAGTCTGGTGGATACACAATATTTTTTATAAGCCATCTTCAAAATGTAAGGAACGAAAGGTGACAATAATTTGACAAAACATTTACATAAAGTGCTAGAAGTAACCACCCAACAATGAAGTTATCTTTATACCTCTTTTTCTCTGAAAACGAGGTAAGAAACGAAGTGATATCAAGGGAGAAAAGTTGTATCGTTAGCTGCTTAGTCCGAAAAAGACACATTATTTGAAAAGTCAATGGTATACACCTTTTTGTCAAAATTATTCATGATAGTGCCCCCCGAGAAGCCATTGGATTTCATAATTATGCGCTAACTTACCCTAAGTTAATACCCTACTTATTGAAATGAACAACACTGCCAAGATTCAACGAAATGTGATGATAATAAAGAAGTAAAATCCTTATAAAGGTCTCTATCTGCAAAACTAGTTTTTATCGGACATATGACTTTTCTACTTATATTTGGTTCAAGAATCGAGCCCTTGCAATAACGGCCTACCATTAAGTAACACCCTGTATTTTATTTCATTTATTCTATGGCAAATCAAAAGTTAGTTCTAAGGAGCACCTCCCATCTCTTCATCCTACGAGTAAACCAATACTTGTGCTGTTCGAGCTAACGGTTTTTTGGCACCAGCTGAGATTTTTCTAAGGAAGAAAACTCATGGAGAACGCTATACCCAGATTCCAGTCTGCCGCTGCGACTTCTGAACATCGACTGAAAATTCATTTTCGATTTTCTGATGAAACTGATACAGTTAAGCCAACTAAAGGTATTTAAACACATTGTGAGGTCCACTAATTAACCGCGCTTCATTAACACATAACATATATACTGGAAGTCCAATAATAATTTGTTAATTATATGAAGTATCCCAATTGAAAATATGCGGTGTGCTTTGGCTTTAACCAGAATAATTAATTAGATTTATACGGGGACAGTCACCATAGTGGCAGTTGCTAGAACTATGGTGACTTTCCGAGTCTCACTACTCGGGTGGCTGGTAATTTTTCGTATTTTACTTAGCCCACCTACTGACGAAGAAGTATAGTAATCGCAAAACATTTTAAGAATTCTTTGGATGTTACATAACATGTACAGACATCACGAAAAATCATATCGCTCATTTTCGTCTGTCTGTCGGTATGTCTGTCTGCTAATCCTTGGCCCGCCTATGACTTGAAAAGAACTGTTCGATTTGATGTTACATTTTGCAGATTTGTAGTTTTTGAACATAGGTCCAGTGGCAGCGAAGTGGATGACAAAAAACGGATAAATCAAAATTGCTCATACTTTAGTTTTAGACGTTTCAGAGCATCTTGATCATTTTCAAAAAAAAATATTGTATAGCGTTATTAAATGGGTGGGACCGTAGAGTATGGAATAATGGACCTGTTTGGCTGATTTGATCCAGTTAATTTTTTTGTTATACATGTTTGTAGCGAACTCAGAGGGATTAACGTGTGACAAATTGGTTAAGGCTTTCGCGGCCAGTTGATAAACTGCTGTCTTGATTCGGGTCTAAAAGCCGTCGTCGGTTGGAATTTCTTCCTAACGTTTCGCTAGCACGAATGCCAAGCTTCTTCAGAGGTCCTTCCATTTCCGATGCTGGATGTAGTCTGACGATTTCTCTTGCGCAGGTTCTATTTATACCGGAGGGTAGGTGACGTGGCTTGTTCCCCTTCGGTTGACTTCGGGATGTCGATCGGCACTGCTCGGGCGTTTCTGAGGATCGGGTGCCTGATCGGGTTGTGTCTGAGGGTCTCTTCCTTCCTGTTGAAGTTATCTGGATGTTTGTGGATCTCGATAGCTTCCCTGACCAGTCTATTGTGATAGCCGTTGACTGCTGACAGCAACCTGCAGCTCCCAAAGTGCATGTTCAGCTACCCCAGACTTCTCAGTTTGTCCTAGCCGGCAATTTGCTTTGTGCTGTTTAAGTCTCGTTCCCATTGATGTTTTCGTGGTTCCAATATCTATTTTGCCGCATGAACACGGTATGCGGTAGACTCCTGCAGCTGAGAGTGGGTCCTTCTTGTCCTTTGCCGATCTGATGGTTTGTTGGATCTTCTTCGTAGGCTTGAAGATTGTTTTAATGTCATGTCTCTTCAGGACTTCGCCAGTCCTGTCCGTGACTCTTGGCACAAATGGAAGATACGCTTGAGAGGTTACGGTTTCACGTGGCCTGGCTGATCTCGAGCCCATTGATCTTTCGATGTCCCTCTTGCTGTAGCCATTTGCTTCGAACGCAGTTTTCAGGTGTTCAAGTTCTGTCTGGAGGTTCTACGGTTCGCAAATCTTTCGACCTCATTCTGTCAGGGTCCTGATGACTCCATACTTCTGACTTGGGTTATGATTGGACAAAGCGTGCAGGTATCTGTCCCTGTGCGTTGGTTTCCTGTACACTTTTTGACCCAGCTTCTTACCTCGCTTCCAGAGTAGTACGTCCATGGTAAATTTTATGTTTGGATGCCGATCGTTTAGGTGCTGCAGAAACTCGTTTAGCCTGTCCGTGCCATGTTTCCAAATCACGAAGGTGTCGTCTACGTACCGGAACCAAATTGCTGGTTTGTTCTCCGATGTCTCAACCGCCTTCTTCTCGAAGTGTTCCATAAAAAGGTTGACTATGACTGGGCTAAGTGGGCCGATTGCCACTCCGTCTGTCTGCTCGGAAATGGAAGAACCTCTGAAGAAGCTTCCCAACTAACAATTATCACCCCTATTAGAGTGCAAGAACGATTATACAGTCTTCCTTACACATCATTGTATGCTGTAAGAAGATTGGCCAAACGCTCTTAGAACAGCTGTACAAGCGAAATGGGCACACCTAATAGGACACTTCACTCATTTAAGAGGTTGTATAAGGGCGGCAGGTAACAGTTATACAACAAAAGTGTAAACCCCTTGCAGCCGCTACAGAACATTTGCGTCAGTGCAAGATTCAGTTTTTGTCAACTATACAACTATTCTGTTACATGATTCTACTTTATTGCAACCAAACTTTTCTCATGTATTGTATAGGCGAAGTGAAGAATATACCATAACACATTACAGTCATCTTGTTTACTTACATATCGGCCATTGTGAATTTCACACACAGGTATATGATAAACTTCTACTCGGTGATATAGGGCTATTGAACTACTTGCGCAGCAAATTTAATTGTGATTATCGTGCAAAGCAGTTAGGTAATTTGTACGGGCTTCGTATTTGATTCATATATAATAATGATCAAAGGTATGTTTAGATTTTTAAGATGAAAAACTGAACTTATCTGCGTTAAATCTTCCACAAATCCTATCGTTTATCACTTTATATCTGTAATGTCGAACAGAAACATAATTAATTAATTTTCAACAGAGGAATATGGCGTGTAGTTATGTATAACCATGGCATCGTCCATGTTATCTTTGGTTTATTAGAATATTTTTGTGTTGTCTGCAAGTGTTATCCTACAACAGTTTGACAAATCTTTGAAATGAAATAGGTACGGACAGAGTCGAATGATTTACCGACAATGTGTACCAGATCTATATATACTATTTGACCATTTGATAAAACCTTTTAAACCAATATGCATGTCTTAAAATATTGGATCTGGCATTTTAACTAAATGATGACAGCAGAAAGTTAGGTTATGGTGAAGTTGTATACCAACATATTTAGCAACAAATGTTTGCCGAGCAGAGGAATTTTGTACTATAAAAGTTGTAATATTGTTGCAGAATTACAGCCTTTAACAGTTATTAAACAACAGTTGTATAAGCTTTGTTGGCTATAGTAGTAAATGTGCACACCAAAACAACAAAGCTCGGGTTTGTTGTATAAACGTTACCATGGATGCCACAACCCAACTATTTTCACTACCGCGCAAATATGCTGTATAAACGGTTGCATAAACATTTATGCAACCGTTCAAAATTTGTCCTTTAAAGTGTTGTATTACTATGCTATAAGAATATTTTAAATACCTCATTTTAGATCAAATATGCTGCAGAAAGAAAATTTGTATTCCACACAACATTAAGCCAGCATTTTGGTGTTCAGGCAACAACAATAGAGAGCTTTTATGGCTGAACGGTTCTTTTACCCAAAGCTTATAGCACTACTTTGCTAGTTGGGTTGCCACTCGTGCTAGCGAAACGTTAGGAAGAAATTCCAACCGACGACGGCCTTTAGACCCGAATCAAGACAGCAGTTTATCAACTGGCCGCGAAAGCCTTAATCAATTTGTCAGACGCCTCTACGGGAGGAGACATGTAAGCAATATCAACAACTGGATAAATTCAGAAAACAGAAGGCACACTTACTCGTCACCTTGGTTTTTCTGTGCCGCTGCCGGGACGCCAACATCGTTCCAGCTTTCCGTTCCAGAGACATATTCTCCAATCAGCGCAAGCTAAGAGGATCTACGCCAGGACTGAGAGAGCCATTCTTAGAGAACGGATCCACTATACTCGACATAGCCAAGCGAGGACAGACGAGAAACTCCTTGGCCTGCACTTGACTTTGAGCAACAGGATCGAACGACAGGATTGAGACAAAATGGACGCAATATCGCATTCCAACATGAGAAACCAACTGGACCGCTTCAAGGAGCAGCAGATTAGCAAATACGAGAAGTTTCAGAGAAGGCAATCACCCCAGAGAGCAAGCATTGACCATGAGCGACTCGTGGTGAATCTATCGGATAGGGTACTTGCGGAGGATGAAATATCAGTATTATCCAAACGAGGTAATTTTGCAATCACGCCCCGCCACATTCCGGTAGAGGACTCTTCAGTACGGAGGCAGCCATTAGACATCTACCGGACGAGGCCGCCGAGGAGATACGAATGGAACTAGCCAACATTCTTAGAAGGGCGAAACCACCACTAAGCAACGTGACGAGGAGTGAAGGTCTGGCTCTACGGAACTTGAATAATGACGAGGATATCATCATACTCCCAGCCGACAAAGGCAATGCAACCGTTCTTCTGAAAACCGAGGATTACAAAAGCAAGATTATTGAACTTCTAGACCCAGAAAGTTACAAACCCCTGAAGAAGGATGCAACGCATGCCCGACTACGCATTACCAACCGGCTCATCAAGCTACCATCACTGCCAGAAGACACCAAGAAGAGCGTTACGAGGACGGAAGCGGTTCCACCAAGGCTCTACGGCCTGCCCAAGATCCACAAGGCAGATGTTCCATTGAGACCAATAGTCAGTGCTCCCGGATCGCCAACGTACTACTTAGCGAAACACTTGGCATCTTTGCTGCAACCATACGTGGGATAGAGTACCAGCTACATAAAGGATTCCACCTACTTTGTGCGCAAGATTCAGGACATCGTAGTTGAACCCGTCGACATCCTTGTGAGCTTCGATGTCGTCTCCCTTTTCACCAAGGTACCGCTGAGCGAATGCCTGGATCTGGTGAGCAGGATCTTCCCTTCTGACATCTGCAAGCTCTTTGAAATCTTTCTCACTGGAAGTTACCTCGTATGCGACGGGGGCCTTTATGAGCAGCAATGGGAAGTCCACTTAGCCCAGTCATAGCCAACCTTTTTATGGAACACGTTGATAAGAAGGCGGTTGAGGCATCGGAAAAGAAACCAGCAATTTGGTTCCGGTACGTGGACGACACGCACAGAGGCAGATACCTGCACGCTTTGTCCAATCATCATCCAAGTCAGAAGTATGGAGTCATCAGAACCCTGACAGAACGAGCTCGAAAGATTTGCGAACCGGAGAACCTCCAGACAGAACTTGAACACCTGAAAACTACGTTCGAGGCAAATGGCTACAGCAAGAGGTACATCGAAAGATCAATGGGCTCGAGATCAGCCAGGCCACGTGAAACCGAACAGCGTCCCCCCACCTCTCAAGCGCATCTTCCATTTGTACCAAAAGTCACGGACAGGATTGGCATAGTCTGTCCTAAATTCTGTTCTGATTTGACAAATGATGTCAGCGAAATACTGATCAATGACAAAGATTTCACAATAGAGAACACGTATGTATTCCACTTTTGTTACGGGTTTAAAGTAAATCAGACTCTTATCTCAGAATCAGAGGTTTACTGGCTGGAAAATTGTACACTGTGAACGGTGACCACAGCTAGATTCATAATATGTAGTTAGTCCTAGGTGCCACCGTGGTCTGTGGGATCAGCCCTGCACTTCATCCGGAGATCTTGTAATCACTGCTCTGACTCTGAAAAGGTTGTACACATTGGACAAAGCAAACTGCCTTCATTTCACTTCAGTATTTCTCTATGGCTTCTTAAGAATCTTCCGTTTAATCTCCCCTGTTGTAGATGTAGCTTCACCGTCTGGGTAATGCTTATATTTTCGTTAGTCACTAACCTCAATGTTGCTTCATTTTAACATGTCACTTCGATTATCCTAAGGTCTAGTGATGTTTCGTCTAACCTGACGTCCTTGGGTTCCGTGACCGAAATTCGAGAAACATCATTTTCGCTCGTAACTCAGTAGACCATCACGCAAATTTGCGTCCGATGATGCTTCCCTTTTCGTCTACCGCGTGCACGGCGATCGATTCAGTTCCCCCCACTAAGCATTTCGCTCCCGGCTAATATCCACTTGTAGTGAAGCTGACAATCGCTTAACGTTTGCTAATACCAGCAGACCCAGGGCTAATGCATCAGCTGCTCTTAGCCCCCAGGATTCCTATGCCTGATTGTTACAAAATGACCACAGTTTTCACAAACTTTGCGGGCTTCCGATGATACACAAATGTTGAAGATACCTCCAGTCTCCCTGTATATATTTTTGAATATTGTTTTTGTTAAGGCACTTCACATAAGTGCCACTTCAGTGAACCAGCTATAGTTATGTTTTCAGCTCAATTTATTATAGCTGGAGTGCTTTGAATCCGTTAAACAATGTTTATAACAATCCAAAACAAGTGCATCACTACCACTTCTGAAATGCGTGCACTGGCATTGATTGCGCATTTTCCACTTTATTTAATAAACTTGTTTACAATAGGCTTGATTATCAAATTCGTATGAAACTGCTTGCTCAATTTGCTATAATATACCAGGCCATACAAAAAATGATTTTATTTGAATTAAATTTTGTGTACCGTTAGACAAGCAAGATGAAGTCGAGATTAAATTATTGAATAAAAAAATACTGTTTGTTCGTCTCGATGCCAGATGCCAGTTTTTGAGGCATGCTTCTCAGAAAGTGACTTATGTCGCCTAGAGGCATCTCATAACAGCAAGTTGTACTTGGTTCCCAAGGGATGCTTGCGTTGGTAGATGATGAGGTAAATTTTCAAAATTTTCATGATGTAGAAGAGTGAATCGAAGTGAGTATTTTGAAAATTAAGAAAATATTTAAATTTATGAAGATTACGGTACCTACTAAAAATAAATTTTGAAGAGGTTCCTCAAATATCACTCAATCTTCTCCCTGAATCCCAAATATTTCATGACTGCATGTTCATGATAAGTTAATTCGAGAATCACTTTCAAGATGTACCTATTTCAGACAAAGATTAATCTTATATGAAATGCCCATTATCCAGAATTCAAGATTCATCACACATCTTACCTTCTATATGTCTGTCGACAGGTTGTCTCTCTATTAAGCCACGTAGAGCCCTCCGGGACCTATAAATAATTCAAAATGTGATAATTATCTTTCATTTTTAATCGATATACAGGCTATAATAGACGATTTGCTAGGTGTCTTTGTGTTAGTGTATTGATTGGTGCCTTTAACTTGTCTATGTGACGTCGGCCTTAAATAGTCATGGGGATAGAGATGGATAAAATGGAAATCTTAATTGCAGTATCTAAATAATTTCATGGCTTCGTTTAAATCGCAAAACTCGAGATATTTGTAGATACTGGAACCTCGGGGGTAAATGGCAAATATGCCTTATTCACAGCATTTATATGAAGTCGTCTGGCTTGACGAAGTAGGTTATTAAGGGGTGATTTTTTAAGAGCCTTCTTCTTAAAAGTTGAATAAAACAGCTAAAAACACATTATGTATACAAAATCTTTATTATAATCGATAAACTGGTTCTTGCCATTTACTTTTTAAATATTACTTCACGCAAATATTGACCACGGCTACGTTTCAAATAGTCCATACGGAAGGTCCAGTTTTTCACTACTTTTTCCAGCATTTCGGCCTGAATTACACCAATAACACGTGTTATGTTGTCTTGTAAGGCTTCAATAATGTTGAGCTTGTCCATATACACCAACGATTTCACGTAGCCGCACAAAAATAGTCCAGAGGCGTCAAGTCGCATGATCTTGGTGGCCAATTTACAGGACCAAAACGAGAGATAAATTGCTCACTAAATTCATTCCTTAAAATGTCCATTGTTTCACGTGCTTCGTGACATGTGGCGCCGTCTTTTTTGAAAGCACATGTCAACCAAGTTTAGATCTTGCAATTTGGGCAATGAAAAGTTACGGATCATGGATCGATATCGTTCGCCGTTGACGGTAACCTTTTGCCCGAAGTCGTCTGTAATTCCGATAATTCCACCCGCCCATAAACCACACCAAACTTGTTTGTTGTGGGCAATTCTTCTATAGCATACTATTCGTCATTTGTTTGTCCGGGTGGTCCGCAGGGCCTTTCCCCATTTGTCACTGTCTAATGTACGTTAGTCAAATCTGTCAGTCCTGGTTGCACAGAAACCAGACAATGTCAAGGAAAAAGAGTAAGGGAAAGAGAAGAAAAATGGAGAAGAGCAAAGAAAAACAGAAGTGTTTAGTTTAAGAGAAGACACCTAGGCTTTTTGACTTGGTACACCGATTTATTATGAGGTGAACTAAACAAATTTTTGATTCAATTTTGTTAGAGTGTAATTTTAAGTGTACTAAAATTTCGTGCTAATGTTTGATTACAGTGCGAGCCGCGGCCTTGAATGTTTACGAACTTACTCCAGTGTGTAGTCCACTGAGTCGCGCAACAGACGGTTGCTGTGCGATTCCGCTTGACTATAACGTCGCTGCGCCTGAAGTTTGACATAGTTCCTCAAGTAAGGAATTTTAAGGTCTCTGTGCAGTGTCTCGTTTGAGACATACCATGGAGCGTTGCAAATTATTCGGAAAGTTCTACTTTGCAGTACTTGACGACTTTGCATATGTGTCTTGGCAAGAAAACACCAAGCCACACATGCATAAGTAATGGCTGGTCTAATAATCATTTTATATAGGCGAACTTTGTTTATCAAACTCAATTTGGAGGATCTACATAACAAAGGATATAGTTGCTGAAACGCAATTTGGAATTTTGTTTTCAAAGCTGCTGTATGTTTCTGTCAGGTCATGCCTTTATCAAGGGTGACACCGAGGTACTTGGCAGAATTTGTCCATGGTACACGATTGCCGTCTAGAGATACCTCTGCTGGGGGGCTGCGACGTTTTTGGTACAATAAATAGCCTGCGTTTTCGAATGGATAATTTTAATCAGCCACTGTTCCGCCCACTCTAGTACTTCTTCCACCGCACTCTGAAACCCATCGTGAACCAGATCACCATTACCCGACTGGACGACAAGTGCCGTGTCGGCAGCATAGAGGTAGACTTCACAGCTGCTGGGGCAAGGGACATCATGGATAAAAAGCGAATAAAGGATTGGTCCTAGGACCGAACCCTCAGGAACACCGGCCCATACTGGCCGTGTTGTTGACAAAACATTGTTAATTTTAATCCAAAACTTCTTTCCTTCAAGAAAGGATTTCAGCAATTTTAGAAGCCAAAAAGGAAAATCCTGCCGCACCTTGTCAAGGGCTTCTGAGACATCCAAAAGCAAGATGCCAGTACTCATGCTGACGGTGAACCCTCTGGTTACTTGTTCCACC